TTTTCATTTATTGTTCGTTTATGAAGTTGTAAACAATCTGATTAATTCTCTGTTCGTTTTGGAAAAAATATCTTTTGTCTGTAATCCTTACATACTTCGAAACAGTCAAACCTGAGCTGTATCTAGATTTACTCAAACCACTCTTCTAACTCTGCAATTATCAGATGCACCCGTACTTATAATAGAGCTAAGAGCGACTTTTCGGATTTGCTAAAACTAATTAGTTCTTAATTTATTTTTGTTTGTGACTAATAATTTGAACTAGTCCACTTAATATGTATCTATCTTTATTGTGATATTTTCTGCTTTTCTATTATTCCACAGGCGGGCCTGTAAATAAATAAATTCATTTCTTCTATTTAATGTTGCAATATTTAGGCGTTTGTGTGCTATATATCTATATCTACTAGAAATCCATTGCCTATGCTCGTAATAAAGGCGCTTTTGAAAGCAAAAAAATTTTGAGAAACGATATTCAATAGACCTGTCATTCCGTCTCGCATTCAACTAATGCGTGGCGCAGAGATTTCATCAAATATTCATTTAAAAACGGGTTAGGTGTGTGAAGATCGATGTATAGATAGAAAAAGCGCGAAATTTAGGTAAGTATATAAAATGGATATGTATTTTACGGTATTTAATTCCATTGTTATCATCTAACAGCTACATGGTTGTGTTCATTTGGGCATACGAAATAATGAAATTCAATCTCAAGGTTTAACGCACTTTCAGATTACACTGAATCCATCTCCTTTTCAAAACGCGTTGAAAAGGCGAACCCATAGTTCCACAGAACGACAGAATCATTACAACTGGCACCTGTAGAGCACGCGACCGAATCATTATATTTCGTGAAAGCGACGAGAGATCCATTGATGTCGAAATTTATGGCGTTCGATTATTTTCAAAGTCAACACCACATTTTATGAGATCCATTTAATACCGCTTACAATCAACGGTTTTATACGTACAATGAAACCGACATAAATATTGGAGTGGAAATGCCGTAATGTACGGCTATTTAATTTAACTGCTGTTCGAATTTTAGGTGTGCAAAGGGAAAGTCGTTGAGAAAATGGTGACACTTCGTTCGCAGAATGCAACGCTTCTGCTTGCATAATTCGGCATTATCAACGTTGAATTTTCACTAACGAAAGGTGCAGGTGGAACTGTAGCTCTCGTAATTTCGGTTTCCAATCTCTCCCAGGGCTTCTCGATACTTAGAAAAGATATTATTAATATGGGCCTACTATGCAGCTTCTTAACAGATGCCGTTTTAACATCTCCGCCAGGGGAGTCGAATCTAACTTTTTTATTTATTACAATAAAGATCTACGATTCACAAAATACTTATATAATTTCAATGAGTGGATTTTAAAGGAAAGTGTAGGAAGCACAAAATTACAGGACATTAAATTTGGACTCTTAGTACGAGGAAAGGATAAAAATATATTAAAAGTATTCATTTGCAATTAAGATAATACTAATGGAATGGCCCTTACTTTAAATTTACTATCTTTTTTAACTTATTTAGTCATAAACTTGGAGCAATTGGAGTTAGCAGCAAAGGAGACAAAACTAAATGCTAGACTAAGCAAAACACTAATCTAGTAATCACCAGTACTTTACTTATTTATATTCAATTGTGAGTTGAAAATAACCAAAGTGGGAGCTACGCATATTAAATCAAGAATTAAAATGTGACCTAAAATTATATTGAGTCTAAAGTTATCGTTTTGTTCCGAATTGTTTCCACTATTAAGGAAGTTTTCTCTTTTGTCCAAATTACCATGTCGCAGAATTTTTCTTCGTTCGTCTTGTTTCCTAGCAAAATATAGATGAGATATAGATTAACTCTAAACATCTAACCTATAATCTCTCGTTTCGTTTAATTAATTTGTACTGTAACGTCAATAATCAAAATTTCCCTTTAAATCACATCTTTACAAAATTTGATTGGCATTTTTATTGACTCACATTGAAGGCAGTCTAATAATACTTTTTCCATTTATCAGATTCTACGCAGAGACAGCGAATAATAATAATTATTAACCATGATAATTAAAGATAATAATTTTTATTTATTTTCAACGGGGTTAAGCATATTGTATAAAAAACTGAGTTGTAAACAAATATTGCTTCCGCAACTACTTTTTTAATACGTATTATTTTCAACTTCCTTAATTAGTGCATAGTAGGTCCCACACGTAATATTTTATCCAGATCTTAGGGTGATGCAAAAATCTACGGTAACGTGATGTGTGCTAAGACAGATGAGAGAAGGATGTCATGGTCGGATCTAGCCGGCTTAGGAACAGATGACGATCAGTCAGACGTAACCGCGGAAGCGTGGGACGTTGAAGAATCGCGTCGAGTTTGAGATAATCGCATTCTGTCGCCCGAAATGATCGCTCCTTTTTTTTTCAAGGACACGTTCGATTAAATTCCGAGTTTTTTTTTATAAAATCAGCTATCGGTTTGGTAAACATCGTTAATGGCTAGTAATAGAAATGATACGGGATCATTTGATACTGCTTTACCTGACGCATAAAAATATTAAAATATGAGAATATTTTATCCAAAAAATAAAATATATATTATAATATACAAACGGTCCCATGTCTCACAGCCCCTAAATTAGATATTTTGAAGAAGGCGCTGTTTAACCATTTTAAGTGCTTTAACGGTTATAGGGTGTACAAAATTTACCAACCAATTACATCATTTCAAAGCTGCGGATGTAAAATTTCCCTATAACTATGTTCAACGGTTATCGTGTTGGGACAAGTTTTTGGATAGTTGTTTTAGATTTGTACTGGCTCCGTATATTTATGTTTAAATAAAAATCGCGAAGGGTTTTAGTAATTTTATGAATGAAATTACCGTCTACGATTATGCTTCCTGCATGGTGCAAATATATGCTTTTCACGAATTTTAAAATACTATTATATGTACAGTCGATAATTAATTGCGTTGAAACCTTCTGAGTGTGTCCTGAAAAGAAAGAGAAATTAAATATTTCTATAATACCGAAATACCCTATACCCTTCATCTTCAAGTCAGTTTTTTGAGGTTATGTTCGTCCGAACTTCCTCCAACGGGCCCCACAAGCAACGAGGCTCCGGGGGCGAAGCACACCCTACCTGAACCCCCTTTAGGCAACTACTCACTTAGATCACGTGATGTAAACCCATTGAAACCGTAGATTTTTAATTGTGTAACTTTATCGTCAACAAAGCACCTTTTCGCCATTTCTAATTGATTATATGCGCTTATGCACGGAACCAAAAGCCTTATTTACATACTAAATAATTAAACACTTCTAATGACATGCAAACTATCTTTTCATTTTTAGATATCATTTGGAATCATTATCACGGAAGAGAGAATTTTATCACTGACGGTAAGACACGGTTTGCGAGTAAACAACCTTCTTGACCGAGGACTTTATGGATAACTTTAGGAATTTTTTTAAGTTGTATTTTAATTTATGAATTAACATCACAGACCATAAATTTCCACTCTAATTATTTCCAACACCAATCAAAGTGTAATAAAAAAGTCGCTTTAATTATTTTTACCCTGCAATCAGTATCTTTATTTTTCTTTTTTGCGTTAACAAATTAATATTAGATCCAAAGTTACTAAAACAAGTTTTGTTTTGTGTTGATGGACAAAATTTTGAACATTTGCCAAATACTGTTTTATAGTGTCAATTGTCAAAGTCTTTCTTTTTTTCAATCTTCGATATTTTTATATTAAAAAAGTTCTAATTCTCTTAAAATTTTGTAGATTTAAAGAAATTTTGGAAACATATCTTCCACATACAACTATTATTTTATATATTTGAAATCATAAATTTCTTTAAGGAAAAAATCCTTTTCTCAAAATTTGACGTTAATATAAAATTTCTTATGTTAAACAAAAAATGTCAAAAGTCTAAGAATGAGGAAAAATAATTTACTAATAATAACCAGAAATACATTAGCTGGCATGCGTGCGGAAAGTGACTAGGCAAGTAACAAAAAAAGTGTGAGAAGAGTGAGAGAACTTTTTTATGGGGCAACAATACTAAATAATTGCAGGCCATAAAGCTTACTGTCGGGGGGTCATGAATTAACTTTATGAACGTTCGGAGGGCGTAGGCGGTCCGAAAGTCTCTCGAGGATCTGATTTTTATATCAGATTTCGGGCACGTTTTGTACATCTCGAGAACGTGACGTTCGAGTGGTTACAAGTGCCGGACAAAATCACCCGTGGATGCTCGTTCGCGAGTAATGATCCTTTTCGTCAAAATATTTTTCGTTACGCTTTCTTCTTTACTTTATAAATACCGTCGGAGGTTATAAGAATGATTGACGGATGGGACTACAAGTATATTTAAATTGCCGTTCGAAAGGACTTAAACGGGAAACAATTGATTTAAAGGTATAAAGGAAATATTAAAGGCAAAAAAATGAGTTAGGACCATTTAGCGAAACTAAAGTGTGGAATCTGTTTGAGCCATAGGTTTTTTTTAATTAGATAAGATTATTAGATGTTAATTTGAATTTTTAAGAAAGTTTATCTCATATCAATAAAATTGTACGTGCGAAATCAACAAAAAGTGATTTTTGCCCCAAAATTTAAAACACTCTGTGGAGTAATTGGAGATGTTGAACATTTCTATTTGTCCCTTAATAGTCAAGCACATATTTTTTCATGAAATTTTCGTTAGTGCTTAATTTCTTTATGTCTTTATTTCGCTTGTTGAACTCCGACTGGAATCCTGCAGACGTTTCGCGAAAATCTCACTTGGCATCTTCAATGCTCGAGCTCCGAAAACACTTCGAACATCCAATTTTGTTTGAAATGATTACGTATGGCTTTTTTAAAATATTTCTCCACAAGGGGAGAATACATGCCTCCTATTTGTTAATACGTACAAATTGGAAATGTTATTATTATCATTGTAGAATGCAGAATTCGGAGCTTTTTGTGCCTATTACTTTAGTACTTACGCTATTCATGGCCCTCGAATAAGAGGGTCTCGACGTTATGGAATCTGAAACAAATAACAACATTTTAACAATTTTGAACAGTGGAAAAGCAAAGCATTTTAGTGAAAGATTGATAATAGTTATTGACATAATAGTGTATATAATCCCAAGTAGCGACTCCTTAACTCCCTCCTCTAGCTTAATTAAATAGAGAAAATATCAGTATGAAAATTGCACGAAAGAAAATAACCTACTGATTGTCTAAATTTGTCGTCTCTATTATATTTATTAAAATAGATTCTGTTTCTTATTTGGCCTATTCACGGCTTATGTTTTATAAACATAAACTTAATTGTTAGTCTATTATGAATAGCACCAATCTGCAATGCATACAAGAATACGTTTAGAATCCCTATTTTATAATACAGGATGTTGCCATCCTTCGATGTCCACCGGCTCTGATGATTTTCTCATTAAGAAACAGAAATTCGCGCGCAAGCAAACGACGAAAGCGGTCGTCCAAATAATAACTCGTCGGCACTCTATCTCGGGAGAGGGAGCTCTTTCTCGCTCCCGCACCCGTTTCAACTTGATCAATATCCCTCCTTGGATATGTCCCCTTCGTTCCCCTCGGTCTTAATTAGGACTTGAATCTGTGGCGGACACATATAAGAGACGTTAGACCAATATGCATCCGAGGACCTGTCGTTTATTCTGTCTACTCTCTTCTTGGTCCAAACAGAACGCAGAATATACATTCTCTGCAACATTATCAAAAATGCACTTTGTCCTACGTGCTAACGATATGATCTGCTGCGCAAGTGTCAAACTTTAACTTGGGAATTATATTTTTTCTTGGACTGTCCTGTATAACATATCTGTAAAATTATTTTTTATGCGTTCTAATTACAAAGTTGTCATTGGTTGCAGGTGAATCTGGCAACACCGGTTTTGCTAAAATCTAAATGTTTATGGCTAAATAAGTTCCGTTGCGATCTACGGTTCAAAAACTCCTCGACAATTTTGAGCGTAACCAAAATTTAGAAGAATTCTTATTGCTTTTTTATATAGAAACACTCTATTTAAGTTTGAGGAATGGACGCAGAATATTATTCCACAACTAACCAACGACAGAAAAGTACTTAAAATATGCCTGCCATACGAGAAACATCGTAGCTTGGATAAGTGTAGTGTTCTCAACATATAACAAGATGCCGACAGTTTGTTGCAATGTATCTCTGTATGCCTCCACCATTTGAGGTTAGGATCGATGTTTAAACCCAAGAATTTGTTGATTAGATTTGTAAATAATATCAGCGTTTTGATAATGACGGACATTTTCTTTAAGTGAATAGATTGAAGGTCATTTAAATAAGGGGTCAAGAATGCTACCTTGCGGCACACCGAGTATGATAGCGAATTTTCACAAAAAAAGCTGGTTGATTTTTAATAATGACTGCTTGAATTATATGTTCCAATTACGATTTCACGCACAAAAATGGAGGTCCTCTCACTGCATATTTGTCCAGTTTACTTGGAATATCGACGTGTACTAAACATTTGAAAGTCTAAGGAAAATCAAAAGTCACCTCGACAAAGTGGAATATTGTTCAACACTCCCTTTTACCTAAATATATACACTTTACCAATATTTTTTATTTCTAGAAAAACGAAAAATTGAGAAATAATATAGCCACTTATTATTAGTGTTATTTGCCATTTTAATAAACACGTATATCAAAGAAAACGATTATAATTATTGCTCGTCTCATTCTAAATAAAACTTGGCTCTCAAAATTCCTATTGACTAATATTTTTTCTTATTGCGAAATAAAGATTCATTCTATTTAATTTAGTTTTTCGCCAACGGATGAAATTTTCTATTTGAAATCCGTAGAGCCGTTTTAAAATATAAAAATATTAAAACCCACTCGGTCTGAAGCAGGCATGGTTTTGTTTTTCACGCCCCAACGCCGACTGTGGCTGCTCATTTAGACGCCTCGCCTCCCATTCTCGCCGTTGGGGTCGCATCATAAACATATTTCAATATTGTGACAGACTGACTGGATGGAAAATCTTTTTAATAACGCCCGGGTTCTTAATACGCCGCTTTCCCGAGTTTCCTGTATTAAAACGCAGCTGATGCGTTTGAGTTCGATGCTTACATGTACGTTGGATTTACATTTTAGAATTACCTCGATATAGTTTTTGAACAAGGTTAAATAAACTTTTTTAAATATTTTTTTTCTGTAACTCAAAAATAACAGATTTTACGATGAAATTGCAGTTGCTAAGTATGGACCTGTAACATGCACCAAGATAATGTGCAATGTTTATTTGTTCTCAATGTTTGTTCTAATCTTTTTTTTATTAGTAAGGACTGTTTGACACAAATTAAATTAGAACAAAAAATGTTCAGATTTTCACAGTTTTTAATGCTTTATGACAGCTGTTTCGGCAACACCGTGCCTGTATCAAATACAAAATATGACTATATTCCGACACTTAGATATAAAAACAGGTAGTAATCGATTTGTAATTATAGGTATAGGGTTATAAATTTAGATTTAACAACGTAAACGCATTTTAATCCAATTAGTCATTAATTAATAAATTAGAATATCTCATTTTGTTAACCTCCATAGCTTCCAACACATTTAGTTTTTTGATTTTTGTATGATTATGTAAAATATCAAAATTATCGTCAAAGTTGTGCATTTCTGAATTTAAATGAATGGCATAGTTAGAATTCGAACTTTTATTTTTCTACGCCCTTTTATGTTCGTCGTAACCATTGTTAATAGCTATTTGTTTTATAATATTTAATTCTTTTTCAAATTTTTCTGTAGAAAGTCGTACTTTAATTAGTCTGTTTATAAAAGCATAAAAGGCAGACAATTTGTGTGTGTAAGGGTGATTTGAGTTATTATGTATTATTGTGTCCGCGTGTGAGGGTTTATGGTAAATTGAAAATTCTAATTTGTTCTGTATTTTAGTTATAGTTAACTAGAATTGCCTTAGGAGGAATTTATATGTCTCTAACCTTGTTAATTAGTTCGAATGAATTTTTGATAACGTATCTATCTTTAAGGGCTTTAAGTATTCTAATTAAAATTTAACTTACCATATTTTTACCATATAAATGCCTCTTGAACCCATATAAATTTTAGATGTCGAAGATACATTGTGAAACAGTTATGGTCTGTTCATAGATATAAGAACGTGACCAATTGCTTTTGAATGGGATTATCCAAGGGTGGTCATTAACATACAATGCAACAAGATTATTACCTAAAGTTTCGGAATTTAAATTCAGGTAAAATTGTGGTCCTTAATAGAAAATAATTTTATACCTACCTGTGTTTAATTTTCTTTGGTTTGGTATACTACTTAGTTTGTGTGTAATACAGCGTGTGTTGAATCGTGTGCGAATTATGCAAAATATGTGCAAGTCTAGTGTATCTCAGGAGATGCTCCCGCCCTAATGTAGAAAACACTATTCTATTGAGACTAAGGAAGGTATAAACAATGTTTATTTGACTCTCATTGAACGTGGTACCAGCAAGTAACCATCTTTAGGAGAAACGGCCACATTGACGAAAATTCCAACATCAACTGTATGGAAAATTGTGAATAATCCCATTTCAGCGAGGAAAAAAAGAAGAGATGCTGACATTTTCTCGATCGTAGATGAAAGTGATCAAGATATAATACGGCGTAAAATTTACCAGTTATACGTGGAATAAAGCATGCCTACTTACGCAGATATCTTAATTAGGAGGCTTGAAAATGATGAAACCGGTATTAAATGTGGCAGAACTACCTTATGGAAGTGTATTCAACACATGGGTTTTAGATTTGGAAAAATTGTCAAAAGGCAAGTTTTAATGGAATCTTTTAGAATTCGGAAATGACGACTTGAATATCTAGAAAAAATTAGGATTTACAGAGAACGACAAAGGCCAATGATTTACTTGGATAAAACCTGGTTCGATACTTATGATACTTCTGAAAAGGATTGAGTTGACTCAACTGATAAGTGAAAAACAAACGCGCCATCAAAAAGAGGTAAAAGATTAACTATTTTCCAGCACTACCATTGTTTTGGTTAGTTAATGTGGGATAATATTTCGTCTTCTAGTAGTCTAATAGGATAATGTCATAGTTAATATCGTAACCAAACGGCATCAATTCTATTTGAGCATTACGAACACGTCAGCGTGTAATCAATTGACTTCCAAGATAAGCGTCTTTAAGGTGCCCGCCCGTTCGTTTTCATTCAAGTAGGTTAAAATGAAATAAATAATGGCAAATGGGGAAGGGAATCCGTTGGTGGGCAATTTGCACTTTACAAACCACATCACGTAGAAATCTGTACGTTTGGAGCACGGTGACAACAGCAAGGCGCTGGATGTCAGAAAGGGATTTAATTAAAGTGGCGGCGCCGTAAAAAGCCACTGCCAACGTCTGTTCTGTTCGTCGCCAGCCTCAGCACCGCTAATAGATAAGACTTTCATTGCCAGTTTCCCGTGTTTCACGTTTGAGTTTTCACCTGAAGGCACGCAAGGTTTATGGTACGAGACGGATAATAACCCTTGTTAGTCCATTTGACTTTCATTTTGTAATATATACGAGGAAATAAAAATTGTGGAATTAGTGTTATGATGATGATAGCAAACAGGACTTATACATAGGGTAACTAAGTCATTCTAGAAAGGGAAGTAATGCTATGAATCAGCAAACTGTGCTTACCATGTCGGACATCGAGAGGGTCCTGCATCTAAATATGTATCATAAATACATATATATATATATATATATATATATATATATATATATATATATATATATATATATATATATATATATATATATATATATATATATATATATATATATATATATATATATATATATATATATATATATATATATATATATATATATATATATATATATATATATATATATATATATATATATATATATATATATAGTGCCCTAAACTAAACTGCGATATAAAAACCCGCATATAGAACAACTTTCTTAAGAAGTTTCTATTCGA